AGATCGATATTGCGCCGTCATAACGATCGACGTCAAGAATGCGTTCAACAGCGCCAGCTGGGAGGCCATCGCCGAAGCACTGCATAGAATGAGGGTCCCTGACTACCTGTGCAGGATCCTGAGGAGTTATTTCCAGAACCGGGTTCTGGTCTACGAGACAGACATGGGACAGAGATCGATTAGGATCACAGCGGGAGTTCCACAAGGCTCCATCCTTGGTCCAACGCTCTGGAACGGGATGTACAACGGCGTGCTAACGCTGAAACTGCCCAAAGGAGTTGAGATCGTTGGCTTTGCGGACGACGTCGTCTTGACGGTAACAGGCGAGACGCTGGAAGAGGTGGAAGTGTTGTCAACCGAGGCAATCGACATGATTGGTAACTGGATGAAAGGAGCGAAGCTGCAAATAGGCCACCACAAAACGGAAGTGTTATTGGTCAGTAACTGTAAAGCGGTACAGCGGGCGGAAATCACCGTCGGGGAGCACACCATAGCCTCGAAGCGTGTGTTAAAATACCTGGGAGTGATTATCGATGACCGGCTAAACTTCAACAGCCACGTCGAATATGCCTGTGAGAAGGCTTCGAAGGCCATCAACGCGATAGCTAGAATCATGCCGAACAACGCTGGTCCCAGCAGTAGCAAGAGGCGTCTTCTGGCCAGCGTGTCATCATCGATACTGAGATATGGAGGTCCAGCCTGGGTTCCAGCGCTGGAAACGAAGCAGAACCAAAGGAAACTGAGCAGTACGTTCCGGCTCATGGCCATGCGAGTCGTGAGTGCGTACAGAACCATCTCGTCGGAAGCAGTATGCGTTATCGCCGGTATGATCCCTATCGGCATCACCCTGGCGGAGGACAGTGAGTGCTACAGGCAGAGAGAAGCCGGAAGAGTACGGAAAGTTGTGAGAGTGGAGTCATTGGCTAAGTGGCAACAGGAGTGGAACACGACGGAGAACGGTAGATGGACACATAGACTAATACCGATTCTTTCGACCTGGGTGAACAGAAAACACGGAGAAGTCAATTTCCACCTAACGCAGTTCCTGTCTGGCCACGGCTGCTTCAGGAAATACCTGCATCGGTTCGGACACGCAGCGTCACCCCTCTGTCCGGAGTGTGGCAACGTCGATGAAACGCCGGAGCATGTGGTCTTTGACTGTCCAAGGTTCGAGGCAGTGCGAACGGAGATGCCCGTCCTTAACGTGGAGAATGTCGTCGATGAAATGTGTCGAGAGGAGGACTCTTGGAATGCCGTCAGCAGGGCAGTCACACAGATTATGTCAGAGCTGCAGCGTAAATGGAGAGAAGAGCAGCGATCTAGCAACGCCAGCTAGCGCTGAGAGTACGACAAGTGCATGAGCACAGCCACCCCCCGAAGTAGTCGCTTCACAGTGGTCCCGGGGGGATCCAGGCAGAGGAGAGAGTAAGGAATGGGTTTTAGTGGAGCTGCACTAGGCAACTAGTGGATACCACACCGTGCCACCTTCACTACAGGCCAGGCTTCTTGAAGCTTTCCTAAACCTTACTATAAAAAAAAAAAAAAAAAAAAAAAAAAAAAAAAAAAAAAAAAAAACACATACACACACACACACACACACACACACACACACACACACACACACACACACACAAACACACACACACACACACACACACACACACACACACACACACACAAGCCAACCAGTATGCAGTACTCCCGGAAGAAAATGGCGATGGTGACGCCGCTCCCATTGCAATAAGAGAGCGGATTCCCCCGCTTTTCACGCCGATGAAGGATGTTGCCGAACTGGCAAAACACAAGCTGCTGCCACGCTTCAAGCTTTGCAGCATCGGTACCAAAATCATGTGCTCCAGGAGTATAAACAAATAGGATGTTTCCTGAAGGAAAACAACGTGGACTTCTTCACGCATGATCTGCCATCGAGCAAGCCACTGAAGGCGGTTTTGCGAGGATTACCGTCGTTCGAGGCGGCTGCGGTGAAGTCCGAGCTGGAGTGGCTTGGGCTCCAACCTGAGGCCGTGTTCTAGATGAACCGCCGTTCCATCAACAATACCAGCTTCCGTGACCAGTTGTTCCTGGTGCACTTCACGAAGGGATCCACCAGTCTTGCGGCTCTGAGATCCAAAATCCGGGACCTGTTTCAGGTCATCATCTGTTGGGAGCATTACAAACCCCAACATCGTGATGTTACGCAGTGTATGAACTGCCTCTCCTATAGCCATGGCACCAAAAACTGCCATATGAAGACAAACTGCGGCAAGTGTGCTGGAACTCACTCAACTGCGTCCTGTGAGCAAGTTGATGACATAGAGCCAACGTGTGTCAACTGCGGTGGAAACCATCAAGCCTCCAATCGCGGATGTCCCAAGCGAGTGGAGTTCATTAATATCCATCGGAAGGCTACAATCAACAACCAGGTCGGTCGCCTCCGTAATCATCGTTCGCCTCCTGTACTCACGGAAGTCCAGTACCCAGCTCTCCAGCCCCGTCGACATGTTTCGAACCTAGCCCCGCTTCCGCTCAACAACCAACAAGCCAACCATGCGAGTATCCAAATGGTTCCCAACAGTCGGACAGTTCAGCATCGTCTCGCTGCTGCTGCGGCCCAGCCAATTCCAGGTTCATCCACCGCCCTGGTTTATCATACGCTGCTGCTGTCTCAAGTGATCCTATCGACGATTCTCCGTTCACCTCGGAGGAACTTGTGACGCTCGTGGCCGAGGTCATCATCATCATGCGCACCTGCAAGACTCGACCTGAACAGCTACATGCTGCCCTGTCCCTTGTCACTAAGTATGGACCGTGAAGCCATCAAGATCGTAAATTGGAATGCTTGCTCCTTGAAGAGCAAAAACATAGAGTTTGTTGATTTTCTCAACGAACGGCACATCGACATAGCCGTCATCACCGAGACTCACTTGAAGCCCGAGCTGAACGTAAGCGTAAGGCTTGACCGCACCAGCTCCGGCGGAGGGGGAGTGGCCACCGCTGCGAGGCAGAACATCAGCTGCCGGCTACTACCAAGCTTCCAGCTGAAAATTATCGAAGCCATCGGAGTTGAGGTGAGCTATCGCTTGGTCCAATCACCATCATCGCGGTCTACTGCCCCAAGCAAACCAACATTATGGACGGTTCGGCTGCAGACCTCCGAAGAGACATCATCAAGCTAACACGACGGCGGCAAAATTTCGTCATCGCTGGCGACCTGAATGCCAAGCATCAAGCCTGGGGAAATACGACGATCTGCAGCAAGCCCACTACAACATTCTGTGTCTGGACACTCCCACCCGGTTGTGTCGATCCGGAGCTCATGCCACCATCGACATCTTCATCAGCAACATTGGCGATAACATCTTCCAACCTATCGCCTATCAGGAACTGAGCTCGGACCACTATCCGGTGGTGGCCGAAGTAGGTTCCTCGGCCAATAGGTTTCAAGTTTCCCGGCAAAATTACCATCGTGTCAACTGGCAGCAGTATCAGCGCTGTGTGGACACAGCAATCGATACGACGTCCTACCGGAGTCGTTCGAAGAAGTTGATCAGTGTCTGCAAACCATCGAAGAGGCGATATCCCGTGCCAGGGAGCAACACGTACCAGCATCCAGACAGGTGAGTCATACTCTGAACCATGACAGCCCAACCTAAGATCTTATCAGGCTCCATCACACCATTCGTAGGCAGTTCCAACGTTCTGGGCTGCCCCACTTGAAGACCAATGTCAAAAGGCTAACCAAAATTATCCAGGCCAGGATGGTGGAACTCAGAAATAACGACTTTACCAAAAAAATCACTCTCTCCCAGATTTTGCAAAACCATTTTGGAAGATGACCAAAATTTTGAAAAATAAGTCGAGGCCGAACCCTCCGCTTTCCTCTGTTGGCGAGAACTTAGACCCATCCCTACTGATAACCCCACTTGAAAAGGCCAATGCTCTTGGCCAACATTTTGTGATTTTACATATTTAATCTTGGTCAAACCATGGTGAGCCCTCATGGGCCTGCCGTACTGGAGGCAATGACTAGAGTCGCTGACACCCCCGTAGTAGTGCATGATCATACTAGAATATCGGCTGATGAGGTGTTAGCAGCTATTAGAAGTACTAAAAACATGAAGGCTGCGAGTATGGATGGTGTAGTCAACCTCGAGTTGAAAAACTTGAGCATTGAGTTCTTCAACCATCTTACCGTTATCTTCAACAAATGTTTGGAGCTTGGCTTCCCTGCATGCTGGAAGTTAGCCAAAGTGATTCCAATACACAAGCCTGGCAAAGATCCTACCAGTGCCAAAAGCTATCGCCCCATCAGCCTCTTGTCCTCCATCTCGAAGCTATTCGAAAAATTGATACTCACCCGTCTGCTGGTGTTTTCAAGTGATAATAACATCTTTCTCAAAGAGCAATTCGGGTTTAGGAAAGGCCACTCTACCATCCACCAACTCGCACGGGTTACTAACATCATCAAGCGGAACAAGTCCGTTTCCAATACATCTGCCATGGCATTGTTGGACGTCGAGAAGGCGTTCGACAATGTCTGGCATGATGGTCTAGTGTACAAGCTGCATCGATACAACTTTCCGATCTACCTCGTGAAGATCATCAAAAACTACTTGGCGGGTAGATCATTCCAGGTCTACTTGAACAATGTCCCCTTTGATACGTTCAACGTTGATGCAGGGGTCCCTCAGGGTCCCTGTTTTGAAATAAGATGCTTCAGAATAATAATGGAGACGATCTACCGATAGAACTTCATGGCTGCTTTTAGAATCTTGGAATACTTTGAAGAGGAAACATATTTTAGCTATGATCACTGTCAAATGCAAATAAAGGTAATTGTTGCAAATCCAAATTGACCAAATATAGTCCTGGGTTGCTAATCGATAACCGTCGATAACGTCTGCTATGCAAATTCACCATATTGCAGATGTTAACGCTGCCGTTATCGACGTTTATCGATTACCAACCCCGCCTGAGTCATTGCAACGGAAACCACTCACCTGAACCGTCTGCTGTGGTCTTCCTCCTCTTCCTCCTCCTCCTCTTCCTCTTCCTCTTCCTCCTCGGCACTGAAATCCGACTCGAGCGGATCCGTCGATTCGCCCGAATTGGTACTCGCCGAGGAGGCGTCGTTCAGGATGAGCTTCTTGAACGAACTGCTGCACGTACCACCGCCGGGCGTAAAAGTGGCCGTTGCCGTTACCGGACTGGTGTCACTTCGGATGCGCAGGGTATAGCTGGTCAACAGCGGCGACGAGGACATTTTTCCACCCTTGCTACTACGGCTGCTGCTGGTCTGCCAAATTGCCACTTGAACCGATCACCGATCACCGTCACCGACACGATCTTCGATTAACCTCACTCTTCTTCTTCTTCTTCGCCCGCTTCAATATTCACTTTCGTTTGCAATTTCCTTCCACTTTGCCGCGTTGGTTTTTTTTTTTCGATTCCTTTCTGCTCACTCACAACGACTCTATAGACCGAGCGTGATATTACTGACCAACAACAGTCGGGAAATCTTTTTTTACCACCGCGACGCTACGCTCTCTTGGATGATCTTCTCTGGCGCGTCGTCGAACTGATTTTGGCACATCAACAACTTACTGCCGCACCAACCGCCGTCGCCACCACACTTCTTGATACCGTAGTTCCGATGACGCGAACACGTTTCGTAGTTGAGTGCGAAGAAGCTGCCAAAGAGATAAAAACATTTTTTTGTCAGTAGGTATCTACATGTAATAGAGTTTTTTGTATCATCGGTGGAAGAAGGTGCGAGACGCAAAAATTCAATAAATCACTTGAATTAAGACTGTAATTACATTCGATAATTTTTGTTGGGGCATGACTTTCTTCCCCCGCTGCCAGGTCAGTTCTTTTTGGTGGTGGTTGGTGGAATTTGCTTTTTTTCGGTATGTTTCCTAAGAGGACGTTGCTCTTATCGAGCGGAATATTTACTGCTCTGTTGTGAAATCGTAGTTGATCGTTTAAGATTTCAAGTGGAAAGTTCAGCTTGCAAACGGCTCAAAATAAACGCACCTGTGGTACTTAGCAATAAAATAAGATCACAATAAAGATAATGGAATCAGTTTAAAACTACGGGATTGATTTAATAAAAAAAAACTGTGCATAATAAACTGTAAAATACAAAAATTATTTGTGGAAAAAAAGTTCAAAATTTGTACTAACAGTTAATGTTCTACAATTTTGATCAACGTTGAAGTTTCCATTGTGCCCAATTTAGACAAGTGATCTTTTTGATAACCTTTCAAATTAACATAAATTTAAAAATCTAAAAAATGTACTTTTTTGTTGTTGTTGAAGTTTTGAATAGATTGATTTTTTTTAATTTTTATTTTCTTTCCAGTGTGTATTTTTGTCTGAAAATACGATCTAGATTTCTACAACTTTGTCTCAAGCGTCATTTCGATTAGATGAGATGAGTTTTCGTGCTGTGATTTATTGAAAAATATCGAATACGTCATTTTGAAAAATTAGGTGGGAGTCAAAATGACCAAATTCATCACATCATGGGATTCCTGTAACATCAAAATATGTCCCAAAAAGGTTTGCAATCAGATACAAAAAAAAATATTTCATTTGGTCCACTCACGTTCGTGATCCTGTGAAGACAAGTACTTACATCTACAACTTCAATGCGGAATTTTTGGATGCCAATTTTCGCCTACGTAGATCGTATTTTTGTAAGCATGAACTGTAGACACTTGCCAACCTCCCCCCAAAAGTGTCAACGAGCTTTATGAACAGCATCCTGGGCGCTCTCGAAAAGTTGAAATATTGCTCCGATCCTAGTGATGAAAACAAACGCATGAAAAAAACACCGGATTATAAGAAAAAAAAAATTGTATATAAACCCATGAAAATTGCAAGAAACTTTAAGAATTGCTGAGAAATTCAGGACAGTCCAGAAAAAAATCAGAATAGCTCTGAGCTTTTTGGAGCAATTTCTAAAACTTCACACTTAGTAACTATTATTTTTACACGAGACGTAGTTCAGCTTTGACGTAAATCATGGAACGTAAACAAACATGGCATGTAAAATTAAGTGTCCTGAAATGTTTCAGTTTCAGGACACTTAATTTTACATGCCATGTTTGTTTACGTTGCAACTCGATGAAAAGTGCGTTTGATTCAATTGATTTTCTCGTCCCTTTCAACTGATTCTTATGTCAAAAGGGCCGCTTGCATGTGTCGGTCTCAGAGCACTGGAATTTACATGTCTTTTTCGTAATGTGTTTAGACATGTTCCAAGAACTTTAGGGAATATCCGAAGCGTTCAGAGAAGTTTCAAAAACTTAAGGGAACATTCGAGGACTACATGTTCAGAACCTTGATGAGGTTTGAAAATCTTTAATCTTCCGAAAACTTCAGAAAAACAAGTCGTGAACTTAGATGAAGGTAAGAGAGTTTCATGAAGGGATAGGTCACTCCGCACACCAATCTTGGGTCATCTTTTTATCAGTGTGCCGCAAGTGTGCCGATTGTGCCGGTCATAGAGCAAGCTGCGATTGTTTGTAGAATACCCATCCCGGCAACCCGGTATTTCTGACACCTTGAATGTTTTGGTTTGAAATCACAAGGATAAATCGGATTGAGGATGACGCGGGAAGTGGTAAAAGTCCTGTGTTTTAGGATTTTATAATCCCCTCAAAGGCAGACCAGAAATCGTGCTGTAAAAACAACGGTCTATCATCAGCCGAAAAGAGGTGGAACCGGAGGGGAACATTGTTGGAGACCGACTTTAGAGGATGATGAATAAACTTCTGTAATTTGTTTTGTGTGAGTTGCATCATTATTTGAATTAAGGGTGCTAATGGGGTCTGAATAACTGCTTCTTTCTCTTGAGCCCACTCTAGAACCTACAATTCGTATTTAGATCTATAAGTGAACTGCTGGTCTGAGTTCCTCAGATATATTCAATAAGAGGATGTTCCTGAATATACAGTCAAACTGCACGTAATGTTGTGAACAACTTCAATGACAGTTATCCAGCAGTGCTCCCATTTCATTTACAACAACCTAATGCCTACGATCTGGTGCCGAAGGTGTGCCGATGAATGTGCCCAAGCTGTGCCGAATCTAATTTCGACACAATGTGCTGAGTGACTTACCCCTTCGTTCATCACAGTTCCATTAACTTCAAAAACATTTCAGGAACTTTACAAGAACTCCGAAAAAACTTCTGGTAAGTTCAAAGATCTTCAGAAAAGGTCAGAGGGTATCGGACTTTAGGACAGAACTTTAGTGAAGTTCCGAAAATTTTAAGATTTTTTTCCGTTCGATCAGCTCCGAAATATTGCAGGAACTTTACAAATGTTTCAAGGACAAAGTCCACAAAACTTAAAAGAAGCTGTGATTTGCCAAGAAAAGTGTGGGAACTTCGGGAAAACTTTGGAGACTGTATATTAGTTCCATTAACATCAGAAAATATGCAGCAGCCTTCAAATGCAGTTCTGATAATATCATGAAAATTAATTCCATTAATTTTATGAAAATTTCATGAAAAATTCTAAACCATCAGGGTAATTCCAAGTTAATGTCCAGAACTACGAGGAAGTCTAATAACCTTTAATGTTAGGGTCGGATAATTTCAGAGCAGCACCACAGACTTCACGAAATTTTTTCAAAACTTCAATTAGGTTTAAAAAATTTAAGGAACGTTACGAGACGTTACGTTACGTTATGAAGCAGGACTGAGAGCTTCAGAGCAGGTCTAGAATATCAGTAAAATTGCGAGAACTTCAAGGAAGTTCCGAGAGCTTCAGGTATATTTCAAGAACTTTAAGGCAGTGCAGGTATATTTCAAGAACTTTAAGGCAGTGCTATTTTCATTTCAGGAAAATAGCGGGATCTTTTAAGATTTTCCTAGGCACACCAGAGAACATCAGAAGACTTTATAGAGCTGTCATTAAGATGTTTGACATTGAGGTTAGGCGAAAATAATATGTAAATATGTGCATTGTTTACATATGAGCGAATGAAAATTACTTATTAGGGTAGTACAAAGTTTCGGTTTCACTCCAAAATTATCGATTCTAAATCATGTGCTGATCATTATACCAACATTTGAACTCATTTGGTTACGATCTCACACTCCACTGGCCCTTTGAAGTTTATACACAAATTATTTGCTTATCCTTGACAGATACGCGTATTTCGTCTACAAAGTGCAGACTTCTTCAGTGTCTTGTACTAATATACTCGAGTATATTAGTACAAGACACTGAAGAAGTCTGCACATTGTAGACGAAATACGCGTATCTGTCAAGGATAAGCAAATAAGGTAGTCGAATTAAATGGAAATTAATAATCTTTCTCTCTCTCCCTCTCATTATACAGGTATTCCACTAAGACGCCCACATTCATCAGGATATTCCTATTAATTAATTAGGAAAACGACATTCTTCTGACCTGCTCCTTGGACTGCTCAGCAGGCCGTTTCTGTTCATGCTAGAGGGATAGTTTCTTCTTATAAGTTGTTTATAATTAAATGGGCCTTCTATTTATAAAAACGACGATTAGGGCGGTCCTAATTTTAACTCGGAACAGGAGTCTAACTTTTTTTTTTAATTTTAAGCTATTGGTGGTTACATTCTTCACAAAAGTTGAATACTTCCTGATCAACCTACCATTTTGGGAGAATAAAATAGAATTCATTTGAATTTTCCAACAGATCAAGCTGCCGTCTTGCAAGAATATCTGAGATATAGCATTTGAATTTTTGAACACTTGTTGCTTTAAAGCTCCCTGAAATTTTGCGATCTATACATGACTCATACAAACTTTTTTAAATTTCTGGGAAGATCACCGAATTTTCTAAGCTGAATTTACTATAAATTTTATAATGTTCTCTGGTCATCTACAAAATTCAACAAGCTTCTAGAAAATGTTCACCACTTTAACCAAACTCCGTGAACTTCTTCCATGTTTCATAATTATGCTCTTTTAATTCTACAACGATCTCAAGATCTCAGAAGAACTATGGGCTTTTCTGGACCTCCGGGAAGATCCTCCATCTTTTCTACGAATATTTCTGAACATCTGGGAAGATCTTAAAACCAGAGAGTTCATTGAGCATTTTTGAAACTGCTTTGAAGCTCCTCAAACTAACATGAAGGTCCCTACAATTCCAAGATGTTTGTTAAACTTTAACGAAAATTTTCGATCTTCTACGAAATACTCTGAACTTCTATTTACAAAAATCCGAGGACTTCCAGAAGTTTAACGAAGATAATCGAATTGCTTCGTAATTCGCTACAAAGTTCACTGTGCTTCTACCTGTTTCGTTGATTTTTTTTTGTCTTTGGTTTGTTTTCCGTATTGAGTACCAGTGCTACCGACGCCAGGGAGGCAGCTGCCACACCTGAACCCTACCTATCGACCCATCAACTCATGGACCGGAGACCAACGGCTTTACTCAGAAAATCCCGGCGGTGCCGGCTGGGATTGAACCCAGGCCTTTTGGGGTGAGAGGCAATCACGCTTTCCACTACACCACCGGTGCGGCTATTTCGTTGATGGTCTACGAAGTTTTACGAGGTTTCCAGAACTATTTCGAGTCCATCAAACTTCCACACCGAAGTGCCCTGAAATTAAAAGAAGGTCCTCGAACTTTCATGAGGTTCTCTCTGATTGAACAATGTTTCCCTTAACCTCCACGAAGTTTCCATAA